ATGGATAGACCAGGGTCACTGAGTCACAGTGCCCTGATGGATAGACCAGGGTCACTGAGTCACAGTGCCCTGATGGATAGACCAGGGTCACTGAGTCACAGTGCCCTGATGGATAGACCAGGGTCACTGAGTCACAGTGCCATGCTGCACCATACTCGGCCTGGCAACTCTGGGCTAACCAGGACCTAAGCACCTCAGCAAAGTGCTTGAACCTCACTCTTCCCCCCTCGAGGACAGCTAGGTTACATTCAGAGCATGCTCTATGTGGCTTCTAATCACGTCTTTTGCTTTCATGTAAAGACAGTTCCTGGCAGCTCTGGCTGACTTGCAGGAGGCTGTGAAACTCTGTCCCACCAACCAGGAGATCAAGAGGCTTTTGGCCCGGGTGGAAGAGGAGTGCAAGCAGCTCCAGAGGAACCAGCAGCAAAAACAGCAGGGTCCCCTGCCAGCCCCCTCCAATGACTCGGACAATGAAGGTGACGCACCAGCCTCTAGTTTAAAGGACCCCTTCCCCATCGAGGAGGCGGAAGAGGAAGAATCCTCGTCACCGGAAGAATCCATTTCCCCAACTCCCAGATCCCAGCCCGCGTCATCTGTCCCTTCCCCATATATCCGAAACCTTCAAGAGGGATTACAGTCCAAAGGCAGGCCAGTGTCACCACAGAGCCGGGCAGGAACCAGCAAGTCCCTGAGAGAGACTGTAGCCCAGCCAGGCTTGGTTATGCAGCCTACCAAACAGGCACAGATAGTGAAGACCAACCAACATCTGGGTTCTGGGCAGTCTAGCATGAGAAACAGTAGCGCAAAACGACAGGCGTCTTCCCAGAACCCTCCTCCAAGTCCGATGCCTGGTAGAATATCTGTAGCCCCTGCCGCCAGCAGAAACCAGCATTTAGAGGGACCAAGTCCCTTCCCTGCAGGAACTGGGTGTGGCCACTTTGGGGATCGACTGGGCCCCAGCCAGAATCTCCAGCTGCAGCGCAGCGAGAGCGGCGCCGCTTATCCTCTACCAAGCAAAGTCAAAGCCGCCGAGCGGCTCCTGGCTCACGCCTCCATGACCGTGGACGTGGCTCCTCCAAGCCAGGGCGGGCCAATGAGTGGCAGCGATGCGCGGCACCCGGCTTCCCTCACTAGCTCGGGCTCTTCTGGCTCCCCATCCAGCAGCATAAAGATTTCAAGTTCAACCAGTAGTTTGACCTCCAGCAGTAGTTTCTCAGACGGGTTCAAGGTCCAAGGACCAGACTCGCGAATCAAAGACAAAGGTACCAGCCAGGCGCAGGGCGGCACCACTGAACACAGGCCCCGCAATACCCCGTTCATGGGCATCATGGACAAGACTGCCAGGTTTCATCAGCAGAGCAATCCTCCCAGTCGCTCCTGGCACTCCCAGGTGCCAGAGGGGCTACTGACAAACACAGCCACTGCAGCTGGCCTGCAGTCTAGCTCCGAGAAGCCCGCTCTCAAGCCAGGCGGGTATTGTAGCCAAGCCAAACCCTGTTCGGTTTCCCCGCTGAGCACAAGCGTCCACAACGGGGCACAGGTGAAGGAGCTGGAGGAGAGCAAGTGCCAAATTCCAGCCCTCTGTCAAGACAGCAGAAAAACTAAGGGTGTCCCTTATCTATATCAGGAAAACATCTCGAAGCAGCCTCCGCCGCCGCCCCATGTCAGTACGGAAGCCCACAGGAGCCACCTCACTTCTGCGAAACCAAAGCGATCATTCATAGAATCAAATGTGTGAGCCTTAAGCAACCTCTGTGTAGTATTCGGAGTGCAGTCTGTTGGCTCGTGGTAGCAAATAATGTCTTTTTTTTTTCATAATAAAAATTACATTTTAGCCATATTTTCCACCTCTTGGGTGGATCTGATGCCATTGACATATTAAAAAATGTAGAATAAAACTATAGCAAGTAGCTAGAAATCACCTGCAAATACAATACTAAACAGAATTGAAAACTACAGTCAGCTTCTACCTGTCAAATTTAAAGGCTGCCAAGAAGACATCAACTAATGCTGTTCTCTTAGGAGATGATTTGGTTTGCTATGCATAAAAGCACATCTACTTAGAGAAGAAGAAAAAAAATCCATTGGTAAAAGATTGTAATTCCTGATGTACTATCTGGAAGTGTATCCTGGAGAAGACTGGGGAATGTTTAAGTTCCAGGCCCCTTAGTCACCCCAGTGCTTACGTACGTATAAAAACTGCAACCCGTGTGGCTTCTGGCTGGATAGAATGGTGACTGTAAACAGCAGGGGTTTGTCTGTCCGGGAAATATGAGCACACCCAGGTGTCGTTCCCGTCATTTTGTTACTCAGAAGGGATCAAATGCGTATTTCCATGTTGCGGTCTTTTTGCAGAGTATTTTTGTAGCCCCCTTTTAGGAACTATGCTCACGCCGCACGGTGTCACCGATAGAAGGGAAAAGGCTGTCTAGAACTTCGGTGAGCGGGTCGGATACTTTGTGCAAAAGTACGAAGGCAAGCTCTCTTGGTAGTGCCTACAAACCAGCTCTAGCTGGTTCTCGTCTGGACAGTGACGAGCGTCCCTGCATCGAGCCTCTGGTGTCCTCTGAGGACAGTGTTTAAACAGGATCCTTGAGGTCTGGCTGTTTTGCTTTCATTACTCAGTTTATTATCTCGTGGTCACATGTTGTATATATAAATAGCTAGCCCAGTTTTATCCTGACTTGTAAATATGACTCAAAAGAAGTTAATCTACAGACAAACAGCAAAACCCCGCCATCTATCTGCATGTTCTCTGTGAGCTTCCTCCATGCTGGGGGTCGCACTGGACGACGCGATCTCATGGCATGTTAACCGTATACCTGTAACGGCACTTTAACTCATCGTCTGAGCACCTTGGAGGTGCTAACGTCCACGCTGGTGTAGTGTTCATCTGTAAAGACAGGTACAGGGATGAGCCTTGTTTTAAGGTATTTTTATATGAAAATGGTGTTACTGGAGGATGTCCAAATGCTGGTTTGAGAGAGGTAGGGGAAGTATTTTATACATTGAGATGTGAAATGTATTTTCTAGAACTGGGGAGAAGGAAGTTCTATATTTGCAGAATGTTTTAAAAATGAGTAGCCCTGATGTTTTCCTGTGAGCATCACTAAGATTTTGTACAAGTAAGGGACCTTGCGGTGTCATTTGGCATTTGTTCCTGTGTGCGTAGCGTGCTGTGTACAAAGAGCTAGGCCGTTTGTACGAGCTTCCTCTGAGTTCTGCTCTAATTACTCTGGCTATTTATTGTTTTCTTTAATATTTGTGAACGTCTTTCCTTTTGTTATGTAGTTTCGTTTCTGCACAACTACTGTACTTTTCCATATGGAATAAAAACCATTACTACAGTGGGTTGGCATTCATTCATGAGGGGTGAGTAGACAGTAATATCCCTCCGACAGCTATCTGCCTCACGTTAATGTTACCCTGAAGAGTGGGAGATGCTTTCGATAGACCAACAATCACATGTTTCATTTTTGTTTCAGAATAAAGTGGAAGCTTCTGGAAATTCCAGAGGATGCTAGTATCCTAATTGGTGATTTTTTTTTTTCCTTAAATAGGAAAGAAGCATGAGAAGAAGCAGTGTGTGCTGATGGGCTCGCCGGCAGCGGATTAGCCGTAATCCTGTAGCTGGCTAGTGCCCTGAGCGGTTAGAGAACAGAGCTCGGGGAACGGCTGGCTCTTCGGGCACATTGGCGTTATCTTTCAGTTAAATGCGTCCGCTTGTCTTTATGCCCACAGGTGGTTTCAAAGCAGTCAAGAGTGATGGAGTTTTTGTGGCATCGTGATACAATACTTACTTGAAATGTTTTTGTTTATGTATTTTATAACTTCAAGTTTTTGGAGACTTTCCCATGTGCGTACTATGTTCCTCTTTCCAGCTCTGTCTTCCATCCTCCCTCGTCACCCCCATGCCTTCTCAAATTCACGGCCCTTCAGTTACTGTACACACACATGTGCACCCCCCTCCCTAATCTGCAGAGTCCAGCTTTTGTTGCTTGTGTGTGTATGCATTTAGAACTAGATAGCCTACTGGGGGGGCTTGCCTCTTGAGAAGAGGAGTTTTTCTGCTCTCAGCAGCCGTTAATTGCCTTGTAGCTCTTCATCTAGTGGTGGGGACCGTGAGATTTCCCTCATCCTTGTTGCCATATGTCTATGCTTTTTTTCATATATATGAGATTTTTATTTTTTACCTCCCAGCCACAGTTTCTCCTCTTTCCTCTCTTATCAGTCCCTCCCCCCATCAATTCCTCATCCATTTCTGTTCAGAAAAGGGCAGGCCTTCCTCCCATAGATATCAACCAAATATGGCACAAAAAATTGGAGTAGGACTAGGCACCTCCCCCCACGGTGCTGGACAACCCAGTGTGAGGGGTAAGGGTCCCAAAGTCAGTAAGGGTCAGAGACAGCCCCTGCTCCCACTGTTAGGGGTCCTACAAGAAAGCCAAGCTACACAACTGTCACATATATTCATGATCCTAGATCAGGCCCATGCAGGCTCCCTGGTTGTCAGTTCGGTCTCCATGAGCACCTATGGGCCCAGGTTAGTTGGTTCTGTGGGTTTTCTTGTGGTGTCCTTGACCCC